GTTTTTATAGCATTGTGTCCATCTCTGAGGGAACAGTACTACCAGTTGCTGAAAAACGTAAGACAAAGAATGCACAGCAGTTAGGAAAAACGTTTTGACTTTCGCATTCTTTCCGTAGAAGATATGTAACATGAATGACAATGTATCTTACATTTTACTACATTCTACAGCAGTGCTCGAGTTGAAGTAGAAGTAAACCTGCGTATGAAATGATATATCTATCACTGAAATAAATGCAACCTGGCAACCAATACCTAGCCGGTTGACATTCATTGACCGTAATAAAATTTATAAAACTAACTGACTGACAGAAACAACCACGTAGTTTGATGTTATAGCTTGTAAACACTTGCGTCTTTGATTCAACTGCAACCCACTATCCATCATGACTATTAAAAACTGAAATTACCAGCAATATCGAAGCCTTCACACAAGAGCCCATCTGAAAATGATGGTTGATCCCTTCCATCTGCTTGACAACAGTGAATAACAAGCTATAAGATCAAAATCTACCCGTCAAACAAGCAATGATTATCATGACTCAGTGGCATCTGGTTTCGGGTCTCAGTGGAAACAAAACCACTCACCAGGAGGCAAACAAGTAGATCCAGCCAATAAGTACCAGCAAGACAAAACGCATCCCACTACTAACCACTGTCCTTATTCTTCATAATTATATAGTCTAGTGTAAGCGTACATCGGTTAAATGACCAACCCTACAATAAAGGATTCTTTCATATTTTTATCTCCTACATAATAGTTATTCATACAAATCACTGAAAAAATCCCATGGTTAACATATCAAGCTGTAGAAAAAATCTAACACATGATAAAATATCCCGTTTCAGGCATTATCTCGCTGAACTAAGCTGTATATTATGAAATAAACTTCAAGTTCCGATACAACTTAGCGGAACTATGAATGATGCAAAAAACAAAGATCTACCGACTACTGTGAAAAGAAAACAAGAAAATTCAATCAACCCAGAATTACATGAATGTGAAGAAACAAATGGTAGTAAATTTAGGATAACAACAAAATTTAGACCAGGTAGCTGTTCTATAAATTATAAAATGTCATGTCAGTAAGTAAACCTCAACACACTTGCACACAGCTGGAACAACAGTTTTTTTAAATAATAAGCATTGTACGAAGAAAACAAAATCGTTTCAAGGCTACACTTGACAGTCAAACAAAAATGCATATATATATATATATATATATATATATATATATATATATTTCTGCACTCAGGGGCATTGAGTATGTTTTAAAATATAGTACTGTACTTACCTTGAAAGTAGAGGCAAATTTAAAGGCCACCCTAGCAACGATAAAAACAACCAACTAGGTTTCTTCATTTCGGTTGTAAAGGCGAATTTCCATAAAATGCAGAAATCTGATTGGTTATCGCAGCTGTTGCTAGGGTGGTCTTTAAAGTCACTCAGATGTAGCCATTAAATAAATCATACTACCAAGCCTTTAAATTTTTGACCTATTTCACTAAAACGGACGGCCGTGTCATATGCGCTGGCACACAGACACACACGCGACTAACTGGTGACATCGCAACTGGGAGTTTGCATCGAATTCACATGGTTTTGAAACAATTTTCATCCTGGATTAATAGTATCCGAAAAAACTATTGAGAAACGGACGGTACCGGATAGAGATACTAGTTCGTTTGAAGTCAATTAATTCTTTACAAACCTCCGGATCGAACAACATAGTTAGCTACCATTTTGCTTCGAGATGGATTTAGCAGTTTTTAAAAGAATCATTGAGGTTTATAAACTCACCGGTAACTGTAAATAAAGATTACACCGAGAATAAAAGTGACTTTAAAGGCCACTCTAGCAACTGCTGAGATGCCCAATAAGGTTTCGGAATTTCAGCTGGATAGTTTTTCATAAAAGTGAGAAATGTAATTGGTTGTATCAGCAGTTGTTAGGTTGGCTTTCCTCTCAAGTCTCTCCAGTAATAATAATTAGTACCTTCAAATACAACGCCTCCGTCGGGAAACACCCGAACTAACAAGATCCAGACAAATAATCTACAATCGAGATTGGGAGCTCACCTCTCCTAAGAACAGACTAGCCCAGTAACTAACAGCAGTTCAAACACAGTATCCATCAGAGAAAACGACAACCAATCAGAACGGACGTCATAAATGCTAAACAGTAGACAGTCATTGGTTACTGAGACTCATAACAAACACAGAGATTACCAGGAAGAGTGAATCAGTGGGTAGCCCCACAGTACTAAGAACACGGCTAGTCAGGCTACGAAGATGGACACAGAAACAAATGAGCATAACATTCAACAGTCCTTAATCTTACAGACTAACGAAGTTAAGCGCCAGGATAGAAATCCACTCGTAGTACTGAATGTTAGTCGTACTACATAATTGATGTGGGAAAGTGTCGGAAAATGAGTCATCATAACCCAGCCCAATGGGTACAGCGGTAACATGTCCGCCTCAAGATCTCAGTACGACAGTCCCGAGCACACAGATTCTAGGAATAAAACCACTCATTTCCTTGATGCCAACTCCCTATTCACTAATGTTCCCTTGATCAAAACAATTGACATTTCGGGTGACTACATCCCACCAACAATTTCTCAACCCCACTTTCAGCCGATATTTATGTGTCACATCTCGAAATGTTGTCTGAGTATGTGGATGATATTTTAATCATAAAAGATGATCTTTGTTGTCCTACTTCAGTTCTGCACAAAACGGAGTACACAAAAGTATATCTCTAACAAGTTTAGAAGCGAACGATAACCGTCTCTTTCTTACATGTATTGTTCAGTCGATGGCAACAAGGATCAGTGAAACTATCCATCTACAGAAAACCTACCTCAACATGATAGCATTTAAATTATCAAGTTCTGTCCGATCTAATACAAACGAGCTGTAACTAGGTGCTTATTTAGTCGGATTTAACGAATATGCACAGCCGATGAGTTGGAAGAAGAACCAAGATTATAGACGGAGAGATTCATCAAGATCAACTGCCCAATGGAGTTTATAAGTCGGTATAAAGAAAGATGTATCCATCAAGCTGCCACACATTAGTGATTTGAACAGCTTGACAGCCAGACAGAGGCTTAACGCTGTCATCAAAATGAAGCAATATTATCCAGTTAAGGTTTGGGTAATCGAAAATTCGGAGTCCGTGGAACAAATGAAGTCTTATCTGATTGCATCTACGAATTCAAATCTACTCGTGGCCACACACAAATATGGAGGATTCATCGGTCACTAAAAATAAGGGACACAGATCATACTCCAAAGTGGCTACACAAATTGTCTGACCCAATCGATGTTGGGAACAAACGCCAGAGCTCCTAAACAGCTAGTGAAGCGGGGCATAAAACGGATGCACAAACGTCGTTTAACCTCATCTACAACACGTATCGAGGGCGTACTAAAAAACTCTTTGAGACATTAGCTACTAGGAGGTTTAAGCCACCTTCGTACATGCGTCCTTCAAAAACAGCTTGTCATCACGTTAAACCTGCCTCGCTTTATTTAGCTTTGTACTGTTAATTTTGTTGTTGTTAATTTACAAATCTTCATTCTTATTCTGACCTTTAATACAATTTTCTTATTCGACCAATAATCATTTTCCCAACTGAGTACAATGTATAAAACATTGGACAAAGAAGTGGAGAATGCACGGAAAGACAAAGCACACTCCTATGACACATTGGCAAGTGAAGCAGAACAGGCTGCCGGCTGGTAGGAGAGACCTGACAACATTGTATCAAATAACCAGGTTACTATCGATCTGGGAAGAGATCAACACAGATGAAACCAATGAAAGATGATGAAGGAAACTTAATTAGCAAAGAGAAACAAAGGAAACGGTGGGCTGACCACTTCAGAAAGCTCTTGAATCGACCACCACCTGCAATTTGTCCAGAAATACCATCACCAATGGTCTTTCTGATTCTGGTCGATTCGATAACGCAACAAACTGTGAGGAGCGAGAAGATGGACATACGCTGTTTGAATGATAAAAAGACCCTAGATTTGCATTTCGCCCAAGGTGATTGATGTCTAACGTCTTGCCGCACAAACTCAAAGATCTACAGACAAAAACCAACAAGTTGACAGAGGCAGTGAAGACAGGACTTTAAGTGAACGTAGAGAAGACAGAGGTGAAGATACCCAACCAGCAACAACAAATTCCAATCATCATCAACGAGAGAAACCTAAAGGAAATAGTCTCTTTCACCTACCTGGGGAGCATCGTTTTAACTACAGGCAGCATAGATGAGGACATCAAAGCCAGGATCGGAAAAGCAAGAGAGACCTTCATTAACCTGAAGTCAGTGTGGAGACCTACTGCACTTACTATAAAGAACAAGATCCGGATTTTCAACACTAATTCAATCAAGTCAGTGCTTTTATATGGTTCAGAGACTTAGCGCATTATAAAAACCATTTTCAACTACAAACATTCATCAACAGCTGCCGCCTACGCTCGATACTGAAGATCAGATGGATGGCCAGAAAGAATAAGCAACAAGGAACTCTGGTCTGGCAACGAACCAAACAAGAAACCATTGCCCAACAAATATGCAGAAGTGAAGATAGACTGGGTTGGATATACACTGAGAAGATATCACGAGTCAGGTTAGACCCTCGAATGGAACCTAAATGGGGAACGACGAGTTGGGCGTCCGAGGGTGACATGGAGATGGTGTGAGGAAGAAATGAGAGCTTCTGGGGAGTCGTGGAACCAGGTTAAAAAGACTGCAGACAAAAGAGTGAAATGGCGACGTGCTAATGAAGCTCTATGTTCCACTAGGGATAAGTAATAATAATATTGTTTCGTCAAAATTTATAAAGGAAACTAAGCGTTTCAGATTCAGTGCGGTAACCGAAACCAGTATAATAATACTGTGCCCAAGTTGCTTCACTTTATATTCAAGTCACTAGCCTATCACTCTATATATGAATAAATAAATAAATAAAGAAGCTGTCTTTTGATACAACAATTTTTATGATGACATGAATGAAATACAACAATGATGATAAACATTCTCATCAGCAAACAATGAAAATGCTGAAAATGATATCACAGAAAAGAATAATGATGACATACGCAAGGAATGAATGATACAAGCATTAAGTATATATCATTATACAAAAAGATAAATAACTATTGCTATAAACCACGAGTCTTGTCAACTAACAACCTTCGTGAAGTAATACGGTCCAGCTTACAGATATCTGCAGCTTGAGCTCGATTACGATTGATATTCACAAACGGCTTTGGAGTACGAATATCTCGTCGTGGAGTAGTTGGCTTTGAGGTTGGAGTGGAACTTCCGGTAGTGCGATCACCTCCACAAGATGATCGACGTGACAGTCTTATTTTTATATCATAGGCCTTACGTCGAGCGAATGCACTATCACGCGGGAGATTGACAGAATTTCCACTTAATACTGTCTTATTATCTAGACGTAAACAAAATAGTGGAGAATTTTAATTTTTTTAAAGTATCAAAATGAAATAGACGATTGCTATATTTTACTTATGAGCTCTTCAACGACAGAATGTCTTGATAACGGGTCCGAGTTGCCACAGCTCATATCAGTACATCAAGTAGAAAGGTAGTGAGGTCAAAGATGAAGATAAGAAAATTCAGTCAAAAGAAATACAAAGTACGAGAAGAAAGAAAGGAAGAATGACAAAATGGTGAGGATCGATAGTGTTAAGATGAGGATACATTGCGCCACTGACATCGGTTCTAAGCCATATCCCCTAGTCTCCAGCCACTGGTTCCTCTTGTCCCGCGAACCTCAACCACCTAGTCTGGCTCAAACTAACAGTCAGAGACTTCATTCATTGATGTCAAGTTTTAGTCTGACCGCCTCAGGCCTTTTTCCAGCTTGGACCTACTTCGGCCAACATTGTGTGACGGGGCAATCGGCGGCTAGGCATACGTATTACGTGTCCCAACCATCTCAGTCGATGAAGGTTCACAACCTCATCAACTGATTTACCTCTACTCCCTAAAACTCTACACCTGATTGCATTTCTCACGTGGTGACACCATGGAATACGGCCTATACAGCCTACGAAGGCGACGGTGGTCAAACACTTGAAGCCTTCTTGTATTTCCCACCTTCAATGGCCATGTTTCACAGCCATACAGTAGAACAGATTGGACTGCTGTGCAGTACACGCCACCCTTAATAGACAAACGGATACCACGGCGACGCTATATGTGGCGTAAGTTGCCAAAAGCCAATCGAGCCTTTTGTATCCGTGCAGAGATTTCATCGGCAACTGACTCACCAGGGCTGATCCTACTTCCCAAGTAGGTGAAGTGGTCGACGCACTCAACCACTACACTCACTCTTTATTGTTAGCCGTGGTACCGCTGAAGACCAGTCCTGGGGCAAAAATTTGCTTTTGGGTGGTGAGAACCGCATCCCAAACATTTTCAAATTCCCACTCAAAGTGTTCAGAAGACTGCATCTTGTCAGCGTCTTCATCTAACACGACTATATCATTTGCATATTCTAGATCTAACAAAAATTCTCCTGCAATTAGGTCAACGTCTGTGTAACCTGGTGACGAGAGGGAGGCCTCTATAAGAATATCTATGATAAAATTGAATAAGAATGGAGACAGTGAGCACCCTTGACGGACACCACTTGATGAGAATAGCTCGCTGGATATCTCACTATAGGCTCTAACACGCTTACAAGTGTTCGAGTACAGAGCCTTCAATCAGGTGATGAACTTACTCAGTACGCCTTTCAGTGAGAGACATTCTCATAAGACTTCTCGATCAACGGAGTCGAATGCCAGGTCGAGAAATACAGCTATTGTCGAGCGTCGGTAAGCGTGCCTGTGTTCCAGAATATTTAGTCAATACACCCGCTGCCGGATCTAAAGCCTGCCTGGTTTTTTTGGGCTTGCTGTTCCCGAGCTCCGCTCAGGCGTCGAAGAATTAGGGAACCTAGGATCTTGGACACTGTTTGTCAGGTTGATTCTTCTGTGGTTATCACAAGAGGACTTCTCTCCTTTCTTGAAGACCGGGATAGTCAGTGACTCAGACCAGTCACAGGGGATCGTATTTGATTCCCATATACTGATTAACACATCCGTTAACCTGACTAAGAGCACCTTACTACCATCCTTGTATACCTCTGGAGTTAGTTCGTCTGGTCCTGCCGCCCTTCCTCGCGAATATTCAAGCCTCAGATGTCAAGCAGTGAAAAGATTCGCGCCACTGAGACCGATTTCTAGGCATGCCACCAACAGTTCACACTCACTGATTCATAACGCCTCGAAGACCCCAACCACGCAATCTACATCTCCCCACAAGCCTCAGATCAATAGTTAGAGACTTCATCTACTTGTGCGACATCTTGGTCTGGTCACCCTAAACCCTCTTCCCAAGTATGACACATCACGGTAAACGGTAGCTCGGCATGCCCAAGCCGCTTTAGTCGACTAAAATCCATAACTTCATCAGTCGACTTCCTTGCCCAGCATATTTACCTCTGCCTAACCTCAATATTGCCCACACTGCGATCCCACCATACGCCGGCATCTCTTCAAGGATACCTATGATCAAAACTCTGTAATCGCTCCATGTCGTCTACGACCGTTTCTCACAGCCATATAATAGAACACGGTGGACTGCACTGCATTAGTGTCCAGCATTGGTGTTTTACTGCCCCAAAACCTAGAGGAAAGTGAATATCTGGTCGACACGCCGACGGTCATATCTGAAACCCTCCTGGTTTTTCCGAGTTTGATGTTCCCTAGCTGAGAATCCCTTGTTTCTGGCTAGCAATAACTTCAAGCATAAGCAGACACTATCTCATTTTGAGTCCACCGACATCAAGCCAACGGTGGATATAAATAGGTGTATGCACTGACAAAATCCAAGGTCTTCTCAACAAATCTAGGCATGGTTAGCATGCGTTTTGCACCTGTCAAATGTAAGATGATGCTCCAAGAGTGACCTGCAACCGCGTCCAGTTTAATGATAGAGAGGGAAGTGGTGGAATGCGCTAGTTGTTTAACTTATTTGGGGACTTGTATCACCTCGAACAGGCTGGTTGCCAACGGGATCTAAGCTCGGATAAAGAAGGCCCGTTTGACATCTGCTCACTCGCGTCATCTGTGGCGTCAACTGGTGAAATCCGACTCTACCAAAGGACAATTATACTGCGCTACACTCCATCACCTATTGCACGGATGAGACATAGCCCTTTGAAAGTGGAAGACATAAAGCGATCACTGGATCTTGATTATAAATGATCACAGAATTCACTCATTCAAATCTTTCAAGGCTTGAAAGTTTTGACTTATCTTAATTTCTCAATTCGCTCTCCTTCTATACACCTTTGTTTACTTTGATATAACTTTTCCTACCGATGTTTTTTGTATGGTACTGGAAAGTGTGGCAACTTGAACCGATAGACTTGTGCGTGAGGTTCTATATTGATGTTGTCTGTTTGTCTCTCATAGACAGATCAAACTACTTTAGGCTATCGTTATAAAATTGTCGACCTTTCTGGAGCACCTGAATGAACTCAAATAACGCGTTGGCACCGGCATGTATATCTACACTTAACAAGCCACAGGTAACAATGAAGTGTGTATTCGACTGGAAGATGAGAACGTCAAGCATGCATTTAAAGAGGTAGCTAAGCGTTTACATGAACAAGGCGACAATTCTCTTCCTGATAAAAACTGGCATAAAGTTCATCGTGCTGCAGGAACAAGGTAGTGACAACTAGTGACTTATATTGAAAGGTTAGTGAAAGCCTGCATGTTTCCACCTCATCTGAACCGAATGATGCGAGAAGACTTACTCTAGCTGACTCTGGTCTTCGTCATGATTGGAAGCAGCTTAAATTGACTAATAATCTGTACAACGACAGCTGGCACGGATGCGTAGTGACAGTGAAATGGATGCAGAAGTCACTGAGGCAAGGCAATTAGGTAATTATTGAGGCTCATTAAATGAACTAGCTGGAATACAATGGTTAGTGAGACCATCGCCGATGAGGATAGGTTGTTGATTACCGATCTCGACGGACGGCTGGAACGTTGGAAGGAAGCAACTCTAATGACAGTTTAGTTCGTTAGATGACATGCTTTATTCGCCATTTCGAACCTGACTGAGACGAGAATTTAGGGCCTCCAACTCTCCTTAAGTTGACAAGGCTATTTCTGCACTTGAAATAATACAAAGTAGCAGAACCAGACAGTCTACCACCAGAAACTCTTAAATCAGCCGGAAAATTAACAAGAATGACGGAAGTAATAGGCAGAGCACGACAATTAGAAGTAATCATTCAGACTGGTCTATTATTATTATTATTATTAGTCCATTGAGTTCCTAGTGGAACATAGGGCTTCAGTTGCACGCCTCCAGTGACCTCTGTTCTCTGAGATCTTTTGAACCTGGTTCCACGACAGCCCACAACCTCTCATTTCCTCCTCGCACGACCTCCTCCATGTCACCATTGGACGTCCAACTCGTCGCTTCCCATGGGAATTCCACTCGAGTGACTGGCCTGACGCGTGATGTCCCCAGTCGGCCTTCTCAGTGCATGGCCAATCCATCTTCACTTCCTCCTGCATATTTGTTGCGTGATAGGTTCTTGGTTGGTTCGTTCCCAGAGTTCCTTGTTGCTTATTCTTCCTGACAATCCATCTGATCTTCAGTAGCGAGCGTAAGCAGTTGTTGATGAATGTCTGTAGTTTATTGGAAATGCCTTTCGTGACGCGCCAAGTCTCTGAACCATACAGGAGCACTGACTTGACGTTGGTGTTGAAAATCCGTATCTTGTTCCGCATGCTGAGTGCAGAAGATCTCCACACTGGTTTCAGGCTAATGAACGCCTGTCTTGCTTTTCCGATTCTGACTTTGACGTCCTCGTCCGTCCCGCCTGTAGTTGAAACAATGCTTCCTAGATAAGTGAAGGAGGTTACTTCCTTTAAGTTTCTCCCGTTGATGGTGATTGGAGTTTGTTGTTGTTGTTGATGGTGGTGGTGCGGTATCTTCATCACTTCTGTCTTCTCTATATTCACCTGAAGTCCCGTCTTCGCTGCCTCTTCTATCAACTTGTTAGTTTTTGCCTGCAGATCTTCAAGTTTATGTGACATAAGGCACAAGTCATCGGCGAAATCCAACTCTTCTAGGTTCTTTTCCGCAGTCCAGTGTATCCCCCTCTTCTCGCTGCCCACTGTTTGCTGCATGATCCAGTCCACCACAATCAGGAATATCATGGGGGATAGTAGGCAACCTTGTTTCACTTCTGTCTTCACTTCAAAAGCATCACTGAGCTTCCCATTGTGAATTACTTGGCATGTGGCATCTTCATATAGTTGTTGAATGAGGCGGATAAAGGTTTGCGGTACTCCGTAGTAGTGAAGCAGCTTCCAAATTACTTGTCGGTCGACGCTGTCAAAGGCCTTCTCA